CCCCGCCCCGCGCTGGGCCGCGCCCCGGCTGGCCGGGACACCGCGGAGAGCGGGAAACAAAAAGTCAAGCTGAAAACTTTCGTTTCCCAGAAGCATCAGTTGGGTCCCAGCACACTGCCAACGCGTCCTGCCACCGGAGGAAAGAGGAAGCCGCAGGGTGTGGGAGAAAGGGCACCGCAGGCCCCTGGCGGCTGGCGGGCTCTTCCTGGGCTGGGCCTGTCCTGGAAAGGGTCTGGGGGACCCGGGTTAGGAGCCTCCCCTAGAAATCGACTAGAATCAAAATCCACAGGACCCATGGCATTCCAGTGCTCTGATTTTTAAATATTGTTTGGGTAGGAGATTTACTTCTGGGACCCCGAGAGGATTCTTCCCTACCCTGCCCAGCCTCCATCTACTTTAAGATTAACTTCTTGGGTGACCTAGACTTTTAACTTTCGAGATCATCGCTGCCTTTCCTTACTTACCAAAATAGGATTTTTCCCCCTTTAATTGAAGGGAGGAATATTTCGCTGAGCAAAGGCAGGCTTTGGTCTGCTCTATTTCAGTCTCTTTTCCTCCTTGGTAAACCCTGAGAGCCAAAATATACCCAGTGTGCTCTAGTTCTAAAGTGGCCTCCGTGACCCAGACAGTGACAGGGCATTGAAGATGGTGGCTGGGAGGGGGAGAGGGTCCTGGGAGGGTGTTGCAGGAGTGGAGAAGCGTCTGCTGGGACAAAGGGTTCCCCTCAGGATTCATGGGGAATCAAGGAGAGGAGTGTGTGATGGAAAGGTGGGCAGTGGCTGGCCCTGGCAGAGGAATGGGGAGGTCCCACTTCTGGGATAAGACTTGTTCCCCAGATGTGCTACAGCGGGACAGTTCCCCCCACCCCCAGAAGTACAGAGGTGAGGAGCAGGGATTTCTTGCCCAGGAGACCATGGAGTTGGAACACTTTCGTCTGGATTTGGGGAGCTGTTGGCCTTCTCCCCCTGCAGGCCAGCCCCTCTTTCTCTTCCTGCATTGAGACCTTCTGTCATGTCCCCAGGACGGCCTCAGCAGCCTCTGCTGGCCCTGAGTTCCTCCCTCAGGTGCCTGCTGACCAGTCCACTTCCCTGGCTTTGCTCAAATCACTGACCTCTTCCCCATGACCCTCTCTCAGGATGGTCTTCACCTCCCATACCTTGGCTTGTACCCCACCACACAGCCATGCCGGGGGCTCACATCTCTAAGGGAGCCTTCCCCCAGACCACAGTAGTTACTAGAATCCAGCTTAAGGAGGGGTGAGTGACAGGTCTTAAGAAAATGATCCATGTTGTATAAGAAGTCCCTTCCCCCACCATTCCCAGATCAGAGAAAACAGTTTTGACTAAAGTGCCAGCATTTTCAGGGAAAGAAATCAGGTCTCATAGTGGGACCAGTGGCATCCCAAACTGAGCACCAACAGCACAGGAATGACCACAGCTTCCTTGGTCTCCAGTCACTCTTCATCCACATTTCCTCCATCACCCAGCCCGGCTAGGCCCTGGGCCTGCTGGTTCCCTCCCTTTCCCCTCCCTACTCAATCCCCAGGGCTTTCCCAGAGCCTCAGGGTGGCTCTCCTGCCTCCCAGTTCCCTGGCTAGTGCCTGTCGCCAGGTGGCCAAGATGGTGACCTCCTTGACTACATGGCTTCATTTCCTTACCCCGGAGCTTACAGGCGCCCCTGCTGCTTAAAGTCAAAGGCTGATTTCTCGGGCAGAGGTCCCTTGAGGCCCTCAGGGAAACTGGCACCAGTTTGCGGATTTAACTCTGCCTCTCCTTCCTCCCTACAGGCCCCCGGGAGAGATTTCCTTGCCCTTCTCAGAACAGGCCCCACCTACATTCCACTTTAAGGTTCCAAGATTCTGTGAGTCACACTGCTCCTTAAGCCTGGAATCTTTCCCTACCTGCTTTTCACCAATCCAGACTCAGCATTTCTGCCAAGGCCTAGCCCATCTGGCCCCCGGGAAGGGTTCCACACTGTGTGACCCATTGGACCCGTGGAATGGCTTCGCTCTGACATGTACGCAGTGGCATGTAAACCTCTCAGACTGCTCCGCAGGAATTCGGGGCTCGGATGTCTTCTGTCAGCAAAACGCTCAGACTCTGGCCAGCCTGGGCCAGGAGGGGGCTCGGGCGGACTCTCGAGCTGGCCATCTGGATCACCGGGCTCTAAGGAGGCCCTGCTGCTGGTCCGCGGGCAAGTCCTATTAATTGCCCTCACTTGGCAAACTCGTATCCATCACCTGTGGTTGGCCTGGCGCGGTTCTAGCCCCTGGGGCCCAGGGGAAATGGTCTCATGGATCTAACATTCTAGGAGAACAGGCAGTGTGACACTGTGATCTGGGATAAGAAATACACACTTGGTCTTGGTCTGCATTTCTGGCACGGAGCTCCCAAATCTCTTGGAAGTTCCTAAGGGATGAGAACTCTAAGTATGTCTAGATGTTCATAACAAACCCCTTTCAACCACACCTGGGTTTCTGTTCATGAAGTGGCTTTTAGGAAGCCCCTGAGGTTGGCTGCTAGTTGCCAGGGAACCATCCCTGTGATTAGAAGGTTAGAACTTTCATCCCTAACCGCTGACCTCTGGGGAGGGGAGGGAGCCTGGAGGCTGAATCAGTCAACAATCACCAAAGATTTTACTCCTGGCTGTGTAGTGAAGCCTCCATAAAAACCCAAAGGACTGGGAGAGACTCCAGGGAGATGAACCCACTTCCAGGGGGCATGGAGATTCTGGGAGAGCCGTGGGCTGGGAGAAGGCATGGAGGCTGCGTGCTTTCCCCACCCTTCGCCCTGAGCATGTCTTCCATCTGGCTGTTCCTGACATATATATATGTTTAAATAATAAACTGGTAATTTAGTAAATTAAATGTTTTCCTGAGTTCTGTGAGCGACTTTAGCAAATCAATTGAACTCTAGGAGGAGGTCTTTGGGACCTCCAATCTATAGCCAGACTCTATAGCCACTTGTCAGAAGCACAGCTGGCAAACCTGAACTTGGGATTGGTGCCTGAAATGGGAACCGTCTTGGGAGACTGAGCCCTTATCCTGTGGGGCCTGACACCATCTTCTAAGCATAGTTTCAGAAGTGCGTTGAATTGTAGGACAGCCAGCTAGTGTCATAGAGTTGCTGGATGGTGTGGGGAAAATCCCCTACGCACACACACATGCACACGCACATGCACATGCACACGCACACACACATTGGAATCGGTGTCCCATAACACAGGCAGCAGCTAGACAAGACACTCTGGGAATACCACCAAGGCCCCGCCCTCAGGAACCCCATGTTCTCCTGGGGGAATGCGGACCAGGAGGGCACAGGAAATGCAGGGGCACAGGGCCCCGCCGGCAGGGGGGTGCTTGGCTTCCTGCAGCTGGGCAGTCGGAGCGGGCGTTCCCCAGGCAGCCCGGAGCAGAAGCCTGAGGACACAAGTGCATAGGTGGTGGTGCCACCTGGTGCCGGCCAAGGACCTGTGACCCCCACACTTCAGCCCTTCCTGCCTGCTCCGCTTCAGAAGGTAAAGTATTTTCTCTCCTGACGTGTGTTTGCCTTAGCAGAACCAGGGCGCCGGCAGGCACCACTTCGCATCGCACAGATGTCTAGGGGCACAAACACCAAGTGCAGGAGAGGTTGGGGTTCCAGGCCCAGCCAGATGGGACTGGGGACCCGGACTGGGCTCCTGGAGGGCCTAGAGGACCGCGGTGAGCATTTTAGCTTTTAGCTGAGTGAGAAGAGGAGCCTTGAGGAGTTTGGGTGGAAGAATCATGTGACTGGACTCAAGTCTTCAAGGATCATCGGCTGCCACGTGGATGAAACAGCAGATAGGCCGTAAGAGGCCATTGCAGTGACCCTGGAGAGGGGACAGTGGCTCAGGCCCTGGTGGCTCTGGTGGAGGCTAGAATGTGGCCACTCAGGAGGGATCTGCTGGTGGCCTGGGTGTCAGGTAGGAAAGGGCTCCAAGCGGCCCTGCTGATGCTCCTTGGGCAAGTCCTTTTAATTGTTCTCACTTGGCAAATACGTATTCATCACCTGGGGTGAGCCTGGCATGGTTCTAGGCACTGGGACTACAGGGGGAAATGGTCTCATGGATCTAACGAGGGGGTTGGGGATGCACAGCTGGAAACTTGGGATGCTGAGGCCGGAAAGCAGTGGGAGGGGAGGGGCAGGCCTGCAGGTGGTCACTAGGCCCGGGAGCAGAGATGCAGGAGACAGAGGTGCACTCGTCCCAGCTCAGCAGGGAGGCTGGAGATGGCAGACTGGGGTCACAGAGCAGGTCTGGATGGAAGATAGCATGACTGGGAGTGGGAGGAGGGCAGAGGGAACTGCGTGCAGGGCTTCACCTGCCTTTGGGAGGGACTGGCCTCTCTGGATTTGCTCCAAGGGCAATGGGAAGCCACGGATTGCCCCAAGCAGAGGCAAGAGATGCATGGATCTGATGGAAGATGGCTTTGGAGCCCAGTGGGCGCAAGCAAGGCAGTGAGTTAATGAGGAGCTGGCTTAGACCCAGGCAATGGACAGAGTAGGAAAGATGGAGGCATGTCTTCCACGTAGAGTCAGTTGGTTGGCCAACAGGTTGGATGCTTGGATGAGAAAAGGAGGTGAATCAAGAATAACACAGGAGAGTTTAGTTAATG